AGGCCCGGTTCTGATGGTGAGCAAGTAGTGCTTCTGCACAGGGTCCCATCGTAGACCCCACAATACTAGGTGAAATTATTTTTGCAAAGGACCCTAAATTATTATAAAATTAGTAAAAAAACCTTATATTTTTGTAAAATTCACAGAAAACCCTATATCTACCAAATTTTTTTTTTTGGCACAACGTCCATAAAACCAATGGGCCGGGACTGAATACACCCGAGTGTTTTTATTAACAAATCTCAACTTTCAAATGTTTTGGGTACAAGGGACCTTGGGCTAAGACTTTTACATCAAAAGATCGATCATAAGAAATAAGAATGCTCGGGAGAAGCTACAATTCCATTTTTGGGTCAATTTTATAGCCGTTATAAACAAGATACCTATTCTTGCCTTAGTAAAGACATGATGAAATACAGAAACACTCTTAATCAATGTCTTTGTCTCTTCTTGATTTCTCACGTGCTTGAGATCTTAAGCACTTCTCTTAATTCATTCATACATTTTACGGGTAGGAGAAATATGTGATGTGAATTACATGAGCTGCGTTCTCAGATAACTATATGTTTTTTCTTGGTTAATATGCTCACATAACTCAAACAGAAAATCTTATAAATAAGAAAAAGTTACATTGCAAGAACAGGAGGAATACTCTGCTCGTACCTAAAGAAATTATCAGGATCATACTTAGCTTTAACATCCATCAATCTCTTCATATTCCCCATGAAATACTTTGATCCATAGATCCTAGCTTCTTCAACACTCGTCTCTCCACTCGGATTGCTTCCAATATCCATGTCTCTATAATTCAAAAACGCCTCTCTCGGGTTACTTGACACGTACGGCTCAGCCACGTCGTAAAGTTCTTTCATCAAACCTAAAGTAGCGTCTGTGGCGTTTGCGTCTTCCCATAACGCAAAGTACTGAATCTTGAACATGTTTCCTTTCCGGTGAGGAAACGCGGTGGCATTCACCGGAATCCGGTCCATCACTCCGCCGTATGGGTTCCATTCCATAAACGCATTGTTGAATTTCAACATTGTTTTCCAAAACTTCACCATTCCTTCTTTTGGGATCGGTTTCTTGACATAATCCGATTTGCACTTGTAGTATGATCCAGGCGGACCGGCTAGTGCATTCAGAAGAACACTAGTCGGTGTCCCGACCGGGTAATTCATCCAAAACGTCATCGTGTTTAGCCAACTCATTTCATAGCAATCTTCACGTTTTAGCCCTAATTCAGGCAAATTCTTGTTTAAAATCGCCATTAGTTTATCCGCTCGCCCTAAGAACTGTGCGTAGAACTTAACTGCGATGGTTTTTTCGCCAGATTTCGCTCCCTCTACAATTTGAGGCACTGCTCTTAAGAAAAGCTTTTCGGGTAATTTGCTAGAGACAAGCTGCCATTTGTACAGAACATCAATGGCTCCTTGTTCCAATGTTTTGTTAACTTTAAACACTGTTAACATCTCTGGAACCTCGACGAGGTTGATTTTCCAAGAGAGGAGAACGCCAAAGCTCGCACCGCCACCACCGCGAATCGCCCAAAACAGATCTTCTCCCATGGTAGCTCGATTCAAGATCTTTCCATTAGTATCAACTAATTGAGCATCAACTACATGATCAATCGAAAGTCCGTATTTTCTAATCAGATTCCCGTACCCTCCGCCGGTGATGTGTCCACCAACTCCTACCGAAGGGCAAACGCCAGCCGGAAACGCTAAGGTTTTGCTCGCTTCAGCGATTTTGGTGTTGAGTTCTCCTAAATTTGCACCAGCTTGAACCCAAGCTTTCTTGCTAGACACGTCAACGGTTATAGATCGGAGATTATGCATATAGAGAACAACAAACGGAAGATATGAGTTATACGAAAGGCCCCCAAAGTCGTGACCGCCGCTTCAGATTCGGATCTGGATTCCATTGGACTTTGAGCAGACCACGGTTGCCTGAACATGAGATTCATGTTTTGCAGCAATAATGGCTATTAGGTTTGTGTTGTTAGGGTTTGAGTACCTTTTGTTATTCGTGTAGGACACGTAAGATGACACAAAGGTGGATTTATCGTGAGTATAGAGAGCTTCGATGATTGGATTCTTCGCACTGGTCCGACAACGAAGGCATTGGAGGAAGCTTTCACTATTTGGTTTCGTTACTTTTGCATTTGAAACTGAAATAAGTGTTGGAAGTTTTTTTGTTTAGTCAAATCATCTAATAATTGTTAGCACTATTTCAGGAGCTAATTAAGCTGTTTCTTTATTTTCATTATTTGCTTCCGTTACGTATCTTTCTCAGTAATTGAGAGTCAATGTTGTAAGGCTATAAGAAGCCATTTTCCCTTATCGAATAAGATGAATCATTCAGACTATCTTCTTCTTGAGAGCTATTTGATTTCAA